ATCACTTCGTTCAGAATCTAAAAAATGTTAGATCTCATAACGTCTGGAAAACTTGGCTATCGATAAAAAATTTCTTAATATGCTTTCTTCAAACTCTCAATATTTTACARTGTATCACATTAAAGTGCCTATTTAATAAAATCTCGTATTWATTTCTTACTCTTTGAGAGAAGGCTGTACATCAAATGAATCRAGTTCTGGTTCTATAGGCCGGTGACTAAATGGTTTGGCGATCGTTTGTTTGAAAACACGATTAGCTGGTTCCTTTACTAATGTAGGCATTTGGCTCACATACATCGTCACCACCTAAACAAACATTAACATCCAACATTAATCCAAGAGATTTTCAGTCATACATAAAAGTCATCAAACTTATTGTGTTGCGTTATTATGACACTTGTGTGCTAGTGAAATTAAATGCTGACAATTWCACTTGAAAGTTAATATTCACCAGTGGAATTGTATCACAATTTATTAATATATTTATAGACAACGACAAAAATGCGTTGTAATATATACCTACAAAAAGTATAAAGTTGATCATAATATTTGGGATAATGTGAAAACGTCCAATCGGCGAATKTATGAGAACATCGACTTAATATTTCAAGACTATAGTAGCAAAAGTAAACATTTAAGATTTGAAATAGTTTCTATATGACAACATAACTTACAAGTATTACCAGTAGGTACTTATAATATTTTTGAATGTATCAAATATTAACTTTAATTCTTCAAAACTCTTTAGAATTTTAGGTACAGTTTTACTACGACGGACATCGTTCATTTTTTTTTATTACCTCAAATCAAAATACAAAAGTCCGATATCATTTTCTGTGTTTTGAAGTTTAACTCGAATATCTTATTCAGCCGTGTTTATAAACTATTTTCATATTTTCTTTTAACACAGCAATATTTATAATTTATCGGCCAACGATATTATCAACAATAAGATTATGATTATAATTATTAAGCATATTGATAACTACTGTAACATCGTCATTAAATAACAGATTAATGGACATTTTTTTATTAGTATGTACACCGTTTTCAGCTAGATACTACCACATTTTTTCAGTACACTGAATTTACCAACTATAATGCACGACCTGTTTCAGTTTGGAATTTCATTTGATTTTTCAGATCTATTTTAATAATTAACACATGTTGACATGACCCATATAGTATACGCAATAAAATTTGCGAATGAAACATAAACATTAAATACCAATATCCAACGTCAATATGGTGTGATATCGCTTATTAAGAAATATCTTTGTTAGGTACCTACTGTAATTTATTGGCTTACACCAGATCAATTATCAAATAAAATTATGAAAATGAAAACGAAAACTAATGGTTACTCGTTAAATTTTTAATATTATGTTAGTATATGATATCAACAAAATATAACATCGAGTTAGACTATAATGTATATATTAAGAAATATACCATATTAAATATAGTTTAGAATTATTAAACAATTTTTAAGTGGTTTTTCAGTCTTAAACCTTTAATAAGCAGGAAAAAAATGTATAGATAATAAACTAATAAAGTAATAAGTTATTAAGGCGAATAAGCGATCGCGGACAAGCTCACCACCAGGGAGCTGATCGACCCCGGTGTCCGGCAAGATCTGGATTTGGACCAGGAAACCAGATAGACGTCGTGAGGCTGACGACGTTGGTGGCGGCTTAGCTTTCTTAAGAAACAATGATGACTACARCTAACAATATTGATGTTAMTGTTACAGGGGCCTYGGAAACCCCAGAGCCGGTGGTTGGGGGGCACATGCGCGCCCCAAAAGTCGTTATCAGTCACCAGCACGAAAAGTGTGGATGTGTCGAGACAGTCATCCACCGCCAAACATGGGGTTGGTGATACTACTGYTGGTGCGGGTGTAAAGCAGGCCCGCACCCGCGATCGGAAAGTCGCCTCAGCTACTGCATTGGCTGCGTTGGAATTGCAACGGGCACGGATCCGGGATGCCACTATTGAGCTGAGGAGCCTCATGRCTGCCAARGAAAGTGGTTTTGCAAAACACTTTGAGCGTTTTGCTCATCTGGAGGTTGTGGCTVYSCAGTWAGCAGTGYCATWAAGGAGATGTTGGAAACGGTCAGCGACCTTCAGAAGGGTCGGGAGAGCGTGAACAAGGCTTTCATAACCGTTCTTCTCCAAGTACGACCCAGCCCTTCCGGCTCATCAGTCGTAATAAAGTCAGTCGACAAAGCCTGCGTGGGCTACTAGACAGACCTTCCCACCCCACCGGTGGAGCCACGCACGGTCTTAAAAGATGCGTCTACGGTTACTCCACAATAGTCACTGGGCTCTGCTGAGTCAGGCAGGGAAAAGAAGAGGACAAAGAAAAACAAGAAAGGGCCGCAGCAGCAGCAGCGGAAGCATCTTCATGGAGCGAGGTGGTCAGGAGGAATTGGGCGCCTCCCACAACCCCCCCTTCCCCTTCCAAGAAACGGTACCAGGTTGAAGGAAAGATAAACCTGTTGCGGCGAAGAGCACCCAAGACATCGGTGGTCACGATTGATTGCCCAACCGAGGGAGGGTCTCTTGCGGCCGTAATGAAGGTGTCCGGGCCCATCAACCTCGGTGCTCTCGAAATCAAGGTTGTCACCATGAGGTGCACTAAGACAGAAGGTATCCTACTGGAAGTGGAAGGTGAGGTTAAAAATCTTGGAACGCAAAATCCAGGATGTTGTAGGAGCCGCTTCCAGGATCCGCAGGACCGAGAGGAAGACACCCGTCATCCTGCTGGACATCCCGGAATGGGCTGAAACGGAGGACGTGGTGAGCGGTCTCAGCCAGATAGGAGTTGCCGTCGGCGTCACAGATGGAAACATTTCCATCAAGAAGAACAKCGTCGGTCGCGGTGWCCGGGTGGCGAGAGTAGACCTCTCATGGAGAAGAGGCAGTCCACCTGCTTCCTTTGCCAACAAAAAGGCCACCTTGCCGTGGAGTACCACAACGAGCCCAAGCCCAGGCTACAACTGCGGTGCCTAACTATAGAGGTGGAGGTTCATCAACTCCGAAGAAGGATGGAGTGGCAAAGAAGATGGAGAGGCCTAAGATGCAGCTGAGGATGGAGATTCCACCGCGGACGGTGAGCCGACCCGCCCTCCGGTGGCGTCAACGTCCGGTTCTTCGCCATGACGGAGCTAAGGTGCGTGCAAACAAACCTTAACCATTGTCGGGCAGCTCAGGACCTTCTGGGGGAGTTCATCAGGACGGAGAACATCGCGGTTATGCTGGTCAGCGAGCCGCAAGGTGGAGGATGAGCTGGCTGCCACTACGACACTACGGGTCGAGCTTCCGTGGGGGTCTTCCACCCCGGACTTACGCTCAGCGATGTGGAATCGGGCGACAGGTTCGTAGCAGCTACCATAGCGGGCGCGGCCCGCGTCTTCAGCTGCTATGCTTCCCCCRCCCTGTCGGTCGCTGAGTTCCAGGAGTTCCTGGGTCGTCTCGAGGCCTCCGTGAAGCAGCATCGCAGCGTCAGAGCCRACTTCATCGTCGGGGAAAGGCTTCAACGCCCGGTCAGCGTCCTGGAGGGACCGCCCAATGGAGGTCCGCGGTGACTACCTGGCTGCGTTCACCGATTCCTTGGGGCTGATCGTCCTGAACGATGGCGGGAACTGACGTTCTTCGGGAGGAGGTTGGGGTCATGTGGCGACGTGAACTTCGCCTCTGAATCTACCGCGAGGAAKATTCAGGGTTGGACCGTGCGTACGGACGTGGAGAACATAAGTGATCACCATCACTTGTGTTTCTTGTATCGCACCGAACACGCGCTCCCGGGCGTCCCCGGTGATCTCCCGCCGGCGGCATCCGGGTTGGCGCACATCCCGAATGGACGCTGACCTCCTGGCCACGGCCGTACTAACCGCGGAATGGAAGGGAGTGACTCTGCCCACGGCAGCTCCTGCCGCTTCCGTGTACGCCGAGACCGAAGCCGAGAGGCAGGTAGCGGCGGCCTGTGACATTGTTCTCCTCCGAAGGAACCCTCATCCTCGGGGAAGACCACCAGTTTACTGGTGGAACGGATGTGTCACTGCTGCGCGCGCCGAATGTGTCCGACGGAAGYGGCTGTGGCTCAGGTAATACTGTGTGTGTGAAKTTGGCCCCCCGACTTTGTCCAATCGATTCCAAAACTATGTCAATATTTTACACATGAATTGAAAATAATTGCAAATCGGGTTTAAGAATTTGCAAATCAATATTTTGTTTTTGGCGAATTTTTAAAGTTTTTTTGCCAGCCCCTCGACTTTGTCCCATCGATTCCAAAACTATGTCAATATTTTACAAATTAATTGCAAATTGGTTTCTAACCTATAATAATAAAT